AGGGGCCGGCGGGGTGTAGAAGGAGCGGCGGCCGCCTGCCACAGCGCCGGGGCTGCGACGCCGCTGTGCAAACCGAGGGGGGGAAAAAAAGTGCCTAAAAGTGATAAAAGCTCGCGGAAGCCCCGAGGACCCCACGTTCCCCGCTCCCGCCGTGCTGCCGGTGTCGTGGATGGCAGCAGCAAAAGGAAAGGCCGGGGACGGGGGTGACGGGGGGACGATACTGCTGGGTGCGGGCAAGTGCCCTTCGCCCGTCCTGCCTCTGCTTAAGAAGTGGGAGTTTGCAGAGGAAGGGGAGGGAGAGGGATAAAGTGCAGAGCTGAGCAGAAGGCTGGGCGCTTTTCAAAGCAAAGAAATAACCCCGTTTCCTATAAACTAGGAGACGAATCCTTCATTACCAGCTCTTTCCAAAGCCACCTGAGGAGGGCCTCCGTGGACGGGCTCCCAGCAGCACACACCAGACTGACCACAGCTGGAATAAACCAGCAAGGAACGATGTATTTGAGCCCTTATCTGTAGAATAAGGATGGGCAAAGACAACTTTCCTGGTTGCCACATTTCTGCCCTTGCTTTCTGATGCCTGCGTGCCCTGTAGTAAGGCTAAGGCGAGACAGATGCTGCAAAGGAGACCGTAGCCATCCAGGGAGCCCGTGGCGATGCTCCTGCCTGGGGTGGGACACTGCCTGCGGCCTCAGACCAGCCGCGACTCCGCAGCACATCCAGCCTCCGAGGCACAGCAGGCTGGAGGAGCAGGGGGTGCGCAGTTCGGACGCCATCCTGGACCACCTACGCTGCCCAGGCAGAGCCACGCACGTGCCGAACCCACGAAAGGGAGGAAGACGGTGAATACCTGAACATTGAGAGAGGAAGAGGACACTGCAGCAGCCCGGCTCCTTCCAGATGAGCTGAGAGGGCTAAAATTAAACTTAGACTAAACCCTGCACTGCTGTGGGTTTCACAGCTCTGGGCGAGATGCTGCTGATGCCTCTTGCACGTCCCCACACGGGGTTTTTTTCACATTCCTGCCAAGTCTGATCCTGAATCCAGGGCCCAAGTCCCAGCCTCATTCTTGCTCCCCCAGAATCAGGACTAGTTAAGAGCAGCACCGCCTGTTTCACAGGGAGAGAGGCTCCAGACCCCCGTGGAGATGGCGGCCAAGGGCCCAGTGCACGTCGAGATCAGCTCCTTCCCGCCCCATCAGCACCAAGGGCACGTGGCAGCATTTGCCCCCCAGATCAGAAGAAACCCGTTCTTCTCTTGGGTTCAAATGCTGATTGCAGGATGGCAGGGGAAATCCCCGTCCCACAGCCCTCTGCTAGGTCAGGGTGTGCAGGGAAGAACCCAGCAGCCAAAGCCCTGGCTCCAGCTCAGCGTGGGCTAAGCCCAAGCCTCATGGACGCAGCAGGAGGGGAGGAAGGATTGGTGATTTCCCCCAGGGCCATGGGGAGGTGGGGGACAGGCTATTACTTGATCTAGAACCATGAAGAGCCTGCCCCATCCCAGCAGAAAAGCAGAGGTGGCCTCAAACTTGCCTTCACAAGACAAGCCCACCATCTTCATCTTTAAACCTGGTCCATACTGCGCTCTCCCGGCCAGTGAATGAGCACGTAAGAGGATTGCCGACGTGCGAGAGAGGGGCAGCCCAGGTGAAGAGCAACCTCAGCAGCCCTCCACCTCTGCCACCGGGAGCCGAGCAGTTTCAGGTCACAGCATAGAGCTCCTCACGGTCGTTCTGGCAGATCTGATAGCGACAAGTGAGCTTCTGTGACCAGGCCCAGGGCTTCTTATGCTTGTCCCGAGGAGGAAGCAGGAAAGCAACGCTGCAAGCCACCAGCACGTGCCAGATGCTGTGGGTATAGTAATAGTTCTCATTGGTTTCCATGAATGCATATACTGAGATGGCGATGAAAGCCAAGGTGATCCCTGGGAGGAGGTAGAAAACCCAGCGCTTCCACGAGGAGGGGTAGCAGTGTCTGCGCTTCACTCCATGGTAAACCTGGAGGTGTGAGAGCACAGAAGGGTTAAGCAGCCAACCAGCAGCTTAGGCAGGGGGACACAGGCAGCGCTGCCTGACCCAGGAGCATCTGCCAACCTCACAGCAAGAGGCTGTGCCTGCTGCCCCTGAGAAATTCAGCCTCCCCCCTTCTCGGGCCTATCTCTTGTGTGCAAGAGTCCCTACCCAGCTGTGGCACCAAAGCCCAGCACAGATGCCATAGCTCCTGCCCAGGGCACGGGCAACAGCCGGCTGTTCTGGGACAGCACTCCAGCCGCAGGCGTGCGCTCAACTGGAGCTGCAGCAGCTGGACTGTGCTGAGACCCGTAACCGGGAGATTTCTCAGCTACTGGAGGGATGGAAGGCGAATCCCTCACCCTGCCCTCCCTCCACCTGGGCTTTTCAAGGAGATCAAGCCCTCCTTGTGGATGGGCTGGAGCCTGGGGTCTGCTCTGCCACGATCGTTCTCCGGATGGGAGCTAAGGGCAGCACATCCTGCCTGGCTGTCCGTACTTACCCACGCTGCGATCATGATGACGAGGGCAAAGAGGCAGGGACCCATCATGTTCCACACCCCTCTGCGGTCCAGCTGCAGGGACATGGCAATTAACAGGGTCCCCAAGACGAAAAGGACCTGGGAATGAGACACCACCACTGTTGTTAGCAGCTCATCTGCTGCCAGAGCACAGCCAGCCATGCCAGAGGCAAGGAGAACCTCACCTCCTGGCCACCCAGCCCTGCACGCGTGCAGGACTCGGGAGCAGCACCTTCAGAAGGAAAAGCCAGAGGACCCACAAACCTTTCCCACAAATCTCAGTCCCTTCAGGCCCAACAAGCATGCAGGTTCACGATCCAAACTCCTGGGACAAAACAACCCACCGGTTTAAAAATCAGGGTGGCATCGGGTGACAAACAGGCTTTGTCATCAGGCCGGGCTGTGTCATTAAAATACAGCCGTGAGAGGGCTCAGCGTGGCCACCCCAGGACTGGCCCTGCCGCGCGGGGTTACCTGACACTCACGTATTTCAGGATCTTCTTCACCCGGGACATGCACAGGATCGTCACCCAGATGGACACCACAGAGCCCAAAAAGTCACAGTACTGTAGTGTGTCGTAGTCCATGATGCACATCACCGCGACGCCTGGCTGGTCACACGCATGGTAGAACTAGAGCCGGGGACAAAAGCAAAGGCTAGCATGAATCCAGCAGCAGCACACGGCTTTCTGGGAAGGAGAGGCAGGAGAAGGCTCAGCCCATGGTAGCCACGATCCCTCCTGGTAGTGCCTCCAGGAAGCTCCACCAAACCACTGTAGCATTACAGAAAGCAGATGAGAGCAGCCATCAACCTGCACCCTCCCAACAGCAGCCGAGAGCTCCTAGGACAGCACCCTTCAAGTACGCAATGCTCCAAGCCCATCTCAGTTCCCTGGGGTCCCACCCCCAAATATGAGCACCTGCAGCATGGGTGGAAGAGCCCAGTGAAAATAACACTCCTGCCAAGCTCTGAAGAGGCAGGACATGTCCACGGAGGTGCCTGTCCAACGATCGTAGAAGCTCCTTGTGGAGCTCCAGGATGGACTGCTCCACCAAGGACTTCAGTCCGACGCAGCATCCTCGATGCTCAGGGGAAGCTGGCGGGGGACCCGACAAAAGGCAACCCCTACCGTGGAGAAGAACATGGTGTAGGTGTAGACGGAGGCCTCCACCAGGTAGTAGCGATAAACAGCAACCACTATTGCCGGCAGGAACATGAGGTTGCTCAGGGTAAGCAGGAGGGTGGCCAGGTTCTGCGCACTGACAGACTGGGCCTTGG